CGATAACGCGATCGTTAAAAAAAAAATCGTTAAAAAAGGAGATGGAGAAGAAAACGAGGCTTGCCAAGTACTCGGATAGGAAGAGCGAAGGCGCGAGATTTCGCGGTATCGTTTGAGATATTTTGAACCGGACTTCGAAGAACATCCAGTTTCTCGGCGAATTTACAACGCCATCGTTCGTCCACGCCATGGTTACTCTCGAGCGAGACTATCGATTCACCACTCTCGTTTCGCGTAAAGGAAAGATCGGCCGAAAAACGGAACCGACTTTTCTTTCTCCGTGAGAATCGATCCAAGATTGATCGCGCGTACATCGCTTGCCTTAATCTCCTCTAAACGCGTTGCCCTAAACGTGTGTTTTCCTTTCCCTTGTTTGTCTTTATCCGTGGACGCGGCTGGTGAACGGTCACGTGAGCGTGCAAAATTCTGCTCTCTTAAAATAACTTGGCAGGTAAAAGGAGTCTCGTGGTAGACAGAGAACCCGGGAAAACGCATCGCCTCGTATTCGATACGAATCGAGGGATCGACGAATAGCTGCCGCGTTTTTATCATCCGCGCAACCTTCTCACTTTTTCATCGACTTATTTACTCCGTAAAGAAAGAAAGAAAAAAAAAAAAAAACGTCGACTCGGAATCTCCAAGTCTCTGTCGCGTCTACACCTCGCCCAGACTTCCCTCTAGATTCGGCCGCAACATTTTTGCGAGGAGGAGAAAGGATTACGAACGAGTTCAACGAACCCTTGTTCTGAATCGCGGCGCCATAGCGACCCCTAAATCACTGTCACGGCGAATCGTCGCTATCTAATACTCTATCTTTCGCGCAGCTTATAAAGGCGAGCTGCGTGCACGCACCGCATTTCGCATCGTGCTGTATGCGCGCGTGCAGTTGCGTGCCTGGCACGGTGTGCGGCACCGGGCCATGCACCTCTTTCTCGCAGTCACGCACCAAAACAAACCCCCCTCCCTCTGCCGTCTTACGACCGAGGTTTTGGCCCTTCTTCGCCACCGATTTTTCCCCCCGCCGTTGGAAAATTCGATTCAACCTCGATCGTCTTTTTCGATTTCGAGAACGAAACGACGCCAACTGTTTCGGAGGCAAAGAGGAGATCGATATTTCTTCTTCTTCTTCTTCTTCTTCTTTTTCTTCTTCTTTCTCGTTTTAGAAGGCAACGCAGCTGTGTAAAGGCGGTGGTTTCGCGACGCGGCGTGGCGCGGTGCACGCGAAATTTACGACACGCCGTTCAATATTACACGGAAGGTGAATATTTCACGGCGGGGCAAGTTCAAAGAAAACGTCGTCACCGGCGCTACGGAACACGTCGGCGTATCTTAAATCGGTCGTGAAAGCAGCAGAAGGACCCCCACCGCTTCTGCATCAAAATTTGCCCGTACCTGTTTGTATTTTACGACTCTTCGTAGATCGTTTCGTCGACGTCGAACGAAAACGACGAGACGCGCGTCTACGAGACGACGACGACGGCTCTCGCCTAGACGGCGACAAACGCGGCTCGAGACCCGATAGACGACGTTAACCGAACAAGAGGGTTGAGAATCAATTAGACGGCGAGTCACCGGAAGTAAGACGTGTACGCTTCCTGACGCGCACGTCATACCCCATTGTTCCAAGACGAGAGAGAGAGAGAGAGAGAGAGAGAGAGACTTCATCTTCTCGACGTACGAGCCACCTGCACCCTCCTCGCCGCCTTTCTCTCCCGACGTCGATCACGAACCAACCACCCCCGATCGCGATATTTATTATCCGTCCTTCCCACGAAACAAGAGAACAAAGAGAGAAAGAAAGAAACGACTGCGATGATCGTTATCGAGATCGTTCGCTTTATTATAACGAATTCCTTAAACGGTTCGACGATCCAACGATCGTATCGCTATTTCCGACAAATTATATAAATCGCACGAGTGGGACGCGTTACACGCGTGTTCCACCGCGGAGAAACGCAAACCAGCCTCGTTAAGATCGAGACACGTGAGCCCATAAACGAGTACGTTCCGTTTTACCTACGCGATGTAGGCGTTCTGCCGGTCAACGCATCTTCGAACCCCGATTTTTACCATCCCCGACGCGAGAAATAATCTCTCCAATTTTCCAAAATTTCCTTTCCCTTCCCTCCCTTCCGTACCTATCTCTCTTTCTCATCTCTGTTTCTTCTCCAATTTGCCGCGAGATTCCGCTTTTGCGACGCGAATCGACGATAATTCGTCGAAAAAGAAAAAAAAAAATTCGATCCTTAGCGATAATAGGAGAAGGAAGGTGCCCACGCGGATGTACAAAACAATGGGACAATGTCAAAGTACAATTATGGTAGCAGCCAAACGCGATTCGCCCACCTGACTGCGTTCCACACCTCGTTCTCGCTTTTCGCCTCTTTGTCGCTTTCCATCTTTCTTCTTTATCACCGTCGATAGCTATTAAACGTGACGTTATTGCCGACGTTTATTCCCCATCTATTTTAATATCTTTGACGAATGCGCTCGAACAAAAATCGAGACATCTTATTCGATTTTCTATCGAACTTTGTTCCAATTTTAAGAAAATTCGATCAAAACGGCGATCGTAATCCCTAACTTTCGTGCAATTTTTTTCATCTCTGTCGCGTCGTTAAATATACCTTTTATGCGAACATTCGCCATCCGTATGAACAATCCGATCACGAGCGTTGAACACATTTTCGATCGGTCGTCCTTCTCTCGATCGTTATCTCGTACGAATCTATCCGATCGAATTGGAGATCGGGACAGAAAAGAATAATAATAAACCTACCGTCCTACCGTTCGATCTCGAATATTTCAGGCTCGATCTAATTTCTCCGCTTACTAATTTACATTCGCAAGATCGACTTTTCCACGGCAACAGCTATCAATCTCCATTACAGCTTCCGACAGCGATCGCTTTCGGGCACGCCCCTTTTCGCCCTTAAACCGCCCTTAAAATATCGTTATACCTATTTTTCCATCCGAACGTCGATACGCGCATCTTTCCTTCCCGAGAAATTATCGAAATCTTTGAGAAAAAAAAATTGAGAGGGGGGGGGGGGAAGAACGAAACGAAAGAGGGTACGATGACCCTCCTCTCCCCTCGTTGGAAAGTTGGCAGACTCGATCGGTTCGTGCACGACCGGCTTCCTATGTATCTTTTAACTTTCCGTCGACGCGCTCTCTTCAACGTCTCGCATTGAAATGAAAATCAGTGCAAGCAGTTGCGCCGATCTTCCTCGGTCGATAAAGTAGTTGTACCAGTTTACTCGAAACCCTCGACTGGTCGCGACAGGTCGAAACGTGAATACCAGACCAGACGTTGTCTCGCAACCAACGTTCGTAATTTCGTTCGGATCGTTCGCGATGTGAAAAGGGAGAGAGAGAGAGAGAGAGAGAGAGAGAGAGAGAGAGAGAGAGAGAGAGAGAGAGAGAGAGAGAGAGAGAGAGAGAGAGAGAGAGAGAGAGAGAGAGAGAGAGAGAGAGAGAGA